CTTCAGATACACAACGACTCGACAAATAACCCAGTGAGATACTCACACTGTCAATAAACCTTCTTGAGAGGAGGCCACCACCCCTATAGCTCGTCAGACCTGGGTCTTTGTCGAAAATACATCTATACTCGTCAGGACGACTAAAAAATAATCATATACAAAAAAATAAGTATTTGCATCATCATCATAAAGAATTAAGTCGATACGTTAATTCGTGCATCCTATTCACCAAAGATCTCTGCGTCCATCGCACTAGACCATCAGAAACAGGGAAGAACGTTCACGGTCGGAACCGTGGCCACGAAGAGCTTTCAATTTCCCCGATATTTTACACTTAATGGCAGCGTAGCTTCAGATACACAACGACTCGACAAATAACCCAGTGAGATACTCACACTGTCAATAAACCTTCTTGAGAGGAGGCCATCCCCTTTATAGCTCGTCAACGACGTTACGACCCGGATCTTTATCGAAAATGCATTTATATTCCATCGTCAGGACGACTAAAAATAATAATATACAAAAAAAATGATTACTTGCGTCATAATCATTAAGAATTAAGTCGATACGTTATTTCGTGCATCCTATTCACCAAAGATCTTAGCAAGACCATCAAAAACAGAAACAGAGAAGAAAGCTCACGGTCGGAACCGTGGCCACGAAGAGCTTTCAATTTTCCCGATATTTTACACTAACTTCAGATGCATAACGACTCGACAAAATAACTCAGTGAGATACTCACACCGTCCATTCGTTTTCAAGCTAACAATATTCTAACTTGCGACAAGTTTAAACTCGAGCATTCTTCTTATTTACCGGTATAAACATGATTTTTATTCGAAGATTAATGAAGTTAAAATTTGATTTAATTTTTTACACGATTTTTTTTACGACTATATGCCATTTTCGGAGTTTTTCGTATCGTGCCGTTAGCTTTTTTTGGTTAGATTTTCAATTCCACATATAAGAATGAATTTTGATTGGTAAGCTAATTAAAATTAATTTTTTTCATCATCGCATGGGTGCGATACATCGCCTCCTTCCCTTTTTCATTTTAGAAATTTTTTGTTAAAAAAAATCTATTCTTCACGCTCCGCGTTAAATGTCACACGTTTGAATTTTGCCCGGCTTTACATAATTTTGCCCAGGAGGCGATGTATCGCGCGCGCGATAAAAAATTTACTTCGAAATAAGTTTATATATAATAAAAAATCTTAAAAAAAATATTGTGTAATGGTGACGTTTAGAATACATGTATAAATAAAATGGTTAAATAGTATAATGTTACACAAATTTCCAAATAATTTACCCATTATAAAGCAATGGTTAGTAGCTAATTTATAACAATATATTATACTTTTTGATTTTTTTAATATAACCTTTTATATATAAATAAAAAATAATTTAAAATTACATAAAATATTTAATAAATTACAATATATATATGGATTTTTTGCAATAGAAAGGGCAGAAACTACAAAAAAAAATTTTTTTGAATTAATATTAAATCTGAACTTATTTTATAAAAAAATAATATTTAGCTTACTAAAGTAAAAAAAATTTTTTGGTAGTTTTTGCCTTTTTTATTACAAAGTATTCATATATTATATAAATAATTTATAATAAATTATTACTAATATCTAGATTTACTTATTAAATGTATATTATATTTTTAATTTTTTTATATTATTTTTGCTAATATTTTAAAGTATTTTTTATAATTAAAGTTTTTTATTTTTTATAATATTTATATTTAATAATTTAAATTACTTTTTTTAAATTAATTAATTAAAAAAATATATAATAATAAATTATTTATTAAGATATATATATTAAAATTTAAGATATAAAATTTAAATATTTATATTTTACTAAATTTTACTTAGTAACAAAAAAAAATATAAGATTTTAACATTTTCATATTTTTTTAAATTTAAAATAATAATAATATTTTAATAAAAAAAAACCTAAAATTTAATCTTATTTTTAATATTAATTCATAATAATCTTTTTATAATAAACTTAATTTTAACCTCAATTTTAATTTTAAGACCAATCTTAATGTTAATTTGTTAATTTATCATTAATCTGAAATGAAATGTAAGATTATATATGATGAAAAAATGTCCTAGTATCTGCTGCTCAATAATTGAGTTAATGCTGATTAGCTTTTATAATTATACAAAATCTTAGATAAAGTAAATATCAATATGAATTTTTTTATATTTATAAATTAATTTAAATTCTTATTTTTAATTTATTTAAATTTTATAATATTTGATTGATTTTATATTTTTTAAATTTAAGATCTAAAAAAAACTCTTTTCTATTGATCACTTTTCGTAAAAAGTCAAAGAAAATAAAAAAGTTTGTCTTTTAAGTTTTATTATATTTACAACTCTATTAGTTAATCTTATAGTTCTATGTAAGTTCAAAAACACTTTTATCACTAAAAAAAAGTTTATTTTAAAAGTTACTTTTATTCAATATAGTTAGAAAAAAACTAAAATAAACAATCTATAAAGAAAAATATGCATTGTTTTAACTAGACAAAATATCAATAAACCCTTAGACTACTAGTTATTTCAACTTTTAGCTCAGGAAAACAACCTGACACATCCTCAGTTTCAGATGTAACTCTTATCAAAAACTTTTTCAAACTACTAACTCTTATTTTTACTAACGTCTTAAACAAGGATGAGTATTTTCCTATCGAAAATGATGCCAATATGAAAATAGACTAAAATAAAGATTTCACTGTTATTACTCATTTGACCTCCTTTGCTTGCATAATTATCATTACTAAGAACTCTAAGAACCTCCCCATTGCAATTATTTTAAAAATTATTAATGCTTACTTTGCTTCTGATGATACGTTTAGAAGATTAACATCTATCATATTAATCTTATTCGGTCGATCGTAATCTACTTCAATGATCAGCAATTAATAAAATTAGCTCTCAATACGAAATTCTCCAATTTGGATATCAACCATCTAAAACATTATGCAATCTACAAAGAAAATATGCAGTTCTATCAATGTACGCTCTGTATTACAGATATTCATCCCAGTCTCAAAAAAGATTAATTTAATAACATATTTACCAAATATGATAAGATTATTATAATGCAAATGTTTATTAGAGATCTTTAGTAACAAGCTTACATCAGTAGAGCAAATTTGGGAGTTCTGGGGTCAAAATCAAAAAAAGATATCCAGAAAGATCCCAATCATAGGCCAGAAGCCCTTCTAGCTATAGGAATCCATAAT